GGGGGGGGGGGTGTTGGAGGGGGAATGAAATTAATTATATAGAGGTGTCTTGGATGGGAGACCATGAAGAAATCTTTGGGCTGACGGTCAGACTGGGAAGTTAAGAAAAAATATGAAAGCGATGTAAGTTACTTCTGTATTGTTGCCACAAAACTACCCAGTTTGACTTGCAGGAGTCTTTGTTTTGCCCAGCTCAGATAGTAGAACCAACTTCTTTTTAATATCCTGTAATTCTCCATATATTTAATATGATGATTCCTCATATATTTAATACGTTTCCCTGGTCACATAAATTACAGCAGTAGCAACTTCTAGAGGGGCTCTGGGGACTGAGCCCCAGACTTTGGGGATCCATGTGGGTTCCTACAGTATCAGGTAGGCATCATACCTGAATGCTCCTCCCTAAAGAGTATGTGGTATGAAAGCTGTGTGATCTTTTGAAGCTTAGCATGGGGGAAATCCAGCTGGGCGTTACCCTGCTGTAGAAGTTCCCAAGTGAGGCTCCTACAGTCTTGGAAGTTTAGACAACCCTTGAATGGAGGAATTTGAAAGTTGGGTCCAGAACAAAATTTCTGAAGGTAAGACTTACCAGGAAACTGGATTCTGAATTAAAGCATACATAACTCACAATCAGTTAGCAGTATTCACAATTGGACAGGAAGTCTGTTCTGGGTTGCTTCTAGGGCTGAGTCAGGCTTCAGTTGTGACCTAACAACTGCCTGCAACTGTTGAAAGCAGCTGTATCTTTTTCCCAGGATCATGTGGGAGATGCAGAGAGCAATTTCATCCCAGGGAAAATACATAACTGCTTTAAAGGCTGCACCTTTTTATACTGGAAAACCAAACATTGCATGGTTTGAATTTCTATACGCCTGGTGTTTGCTGCTGCTACTGAGAGTAGGAAATTCAACTCCTGAGGGAGGCAGCCTTTTTCTGTTGATGACCAATTTGCTTATGCATACATAAACTAGTAGGTGTGTCCAGAACAACAATTAGCCAGATCACTCTCTTTTCCCCCCATTTGAGACACCTGCTTATTCTCCCTTCATAGCGTGCAGGCTTGATAACTCTTATAAAAGGTTTGATATTACACCTATCTTAAAGGGTTTGGAATTAGACCAAGGACTGCATTCAGTTAGGTTAAGAGCCTCTATGTAGCTCTGGAGTCTAGACCAAAAATTATATGGAAGATTACGTTCTCTTACTGAATAAGGCTATCTTATATTATTGAGTCATTCAACCATGGCTCTACTTTCTCCAGTCTGGGCCCTACCAGATATTTTGGGATTACTGTTCTTAGAATTTCCAATTATTAACCTCAACTAATCTGAAGGGCACCTAATTGGAGAATGTTTATCTCATTGTTGTTACCACCTCTGAAGCAGTTGAGGATCCGTCTTGTAAATCCTCTTCTTCTGAGGATTAGTTGAGGGGGCTAGGTCATGCTTTGCAGAACACCACTTTTGTTTACTACCATCCTTGATTCCTGTGGAGCCTTAACATGAAACTTACAGCTGTAACGGTATTGCCTGGATTCCACTGCAGTGGCTGTGGGTGATATTTGACCTGAACATGGTTCAAAAGGATTCAGAGAAATTAGATGAGGTTCACAGGACAAGAATGAGCAGGAACTGAAAACTCCTTGAAGTCCCTTGAAGAGAGATTGAAGGAGGTGGGAAGAAAAAGTTGAAGGGGAATGAAATATCTCTCTTCAAACGTCTGAAAAGAGGTCATACAGAAGAAAGTCAGGACCGGTTCTCTCTCATTCCATTCCGTCCAATTTAATGGATTTAACTTACAGGAGGGCAGATTCTGATTGAACATTAGAAGAAACTTCCTAACAGTAAGAGCCATTTTGAAGTGGGACCTGTTATCAGGGGACTGGTAGGCTTCTTTTCATAGGCTGCTCGAGAATATTTCCTGGGAATGGTTTGATTTGGATTCTTGCCCTGAGTAAGGGGCTGGACTGGAGGACCTCGTGGGCCCCTTGCAACTCTCAGGTTCTGTGGTTCAGTGGTGGCTGTTTGGTTATTATTTCCTTCCCCTCTCACACATGTTTCTCTGTCTGTCTTTCAGGAAGAAACCCTTTGGACAGAAGAAGATGCCCCCAGTTTTTCTGTAGGTGAGAAGTCCACACACTCTGAACTTTCCCAAACTCAGAGTCAGACCGCTTGGTCCCGTAAGCAGAAGGAAACCAATGCCGGGCAGAGAAGGAGAGCGGTTCAGCAGAGCCAAGGTCGACATGGCTGCCGAGCAACAGGAGGTGTCCCCTATGGGCCTCCACCAGAATGAAATCAGGGTGGAAAAAGGAGTCAAAATGGAGGAGCTTGAGAAAGCAGGCCTTGCACTGGCTGGCCCAAAGCGATTCCGGAAGAGCCCTTACGTTGTTCAGGCTGGCGGCGCTGGGGAGCGTTTTAGCCGGCTGACAGCCAAGCAAGCGGAGCGTGACCTCGATGATGGGATGTTAGCGCCATGCTGGGAAGCCCAATGGCGAGACTTCCTGAAGAACACGCAGCCCCCTTATTTGGGGTGGAGCAGCCCCCAGGTCCCGGGGGTCACACTTCTGGCTCCTGCTGAATCCGGGCCTGGGGCTGATGGGGAGCCCATGCGAGAGGAGGCAGGGGAGCTCCTGCTAGGCCTCAGGGAGAGGCCCCTCAAGACCAGCCTGCATGCAGACCCCGCAGAGCCGGGGGACGATGGAGAGGTGAAGGGGGAGGGCCAAGCTGAGGAGGCCCCCAGCGCCGAGCTGCATCGGCGGCGCTTCCGGTGGTTTTGCTACCAAGAGGCGGAGGGGCCTTGGGAGGCGTGCGCCCAGCTGCGGGAGCTGTGTCTCAGCTGGCTGCGACCGGAGCTGAATTCGAAGGAGCAGATGGTGGAGCTGGTTATTCTGGAGCAGTTCTTGGCCATCTTGCCCGAGGAAATCCAGGGCTGGGTTGGAGAAAGCGGGCCGGAGACCTGTGCCCAGGCAGTGGCCTTGGTGGAAGACTTCCTGCTGAGGCAGCAGGAGACCGAGAGGTGGAAGCAGGAAGTAAGGGGGATTTCTCGGGGGCGCTGGGGCCAAGTCCATTGATCTCATTGCCCACCGGCAGGGCAGGGACCTACAGGGGGGATGGATGGCCAGCCAGAGCAGGAGAGGAAGAAGTGGATGGTTCTGGAGCATGTTTACATTGCAATCCCTTCTTGCACTGTTCCTTTCTTCCTCCCTAGAAAGACAACTCTCTGGTTTACATGAACTGCCTCTGCTCTGGGGCCACCATGTTGGGTACCGGGTTATACCAGTACACTGCTGCCTCTAGTTACCTCAAGGTTAATGCCCATCAAAGGGGGCATATCTTTTCATACGATCAGATTATGCCACCCCATTGGGAATGAGCTGAAATAAGGTTGCCAGTTAACTGGTTGTTGTAAATTGCACACATGGAGCGTGCAACGAAAGGTGTTTTGCTGCAGGCATGCTCTTTAGAGCACCAGTGAGGTACCACCAGCCCCTTCCTGTTTCCCTAGTGATCTTTTTTCTTCTTGGGCCACGCTCAGACAGCATCCCGCGGCCACTGAGCGCGCTGAGTCTTCAGTGAGCTGCTGAAGGAGAAGGGGAGAGTCAGTAATCAATCAGTCAGAGAATAATAAGGCTTGTTCCCTCAAATGGCAGGAGACCTCTGAACTGGGGAAGGAAGATTTAAACAAAAGTAGGGCTGTGTATTTCCTGAGGCTGGGCCAGCTTGAGAATATAATGCAGCCTGATTCAGTTGTTGCAAGACCATGTTGAGGAGAAGGCTAAATTCACCGCTTGTGCTTCAACTAGGCCAGTGTTTCTCAAAGTGTGGTCTGAGGACCTTTGGGGGTCCCCAAGATCCTCTCAGGGGTCTGTGAAATTAAAATTATGTTGAAACATAAAAAAATAATATATGAAAATCCCATCAAACAATTGTGAGAAGCGGTCGTGGCAGCGAATGCACCAATTTTAATTTTAGTACGGTCAATATCGATCAATATAACCCATACAAACAAAAGTTATTTTGGGGTCCTTGATAATTTTTAACAGTGGGAAAGGGTCCTGAGAGAAAAAAGTTTAAGAAACACTGGACTAGGCTTTGCAACAATGCCACCTTGCTTATTAAGCGGTATCCAAGGGGCCTCCTGCTTTCTGCCCTGCCTCTGACTGCCCCAGTTTGCTTTGTAATCCTTTGTCTCAAAGTTTGGCTGAAGTTGCCTTTTGCAGGGGGTCTGCATACGCGTGACGTTGATCCTGGGGTGATGGCGGTGGGAAGGCTGCTGCCTCTCCTGAAGTTGTGAGATTTTGAAAAGGAGGGGCTATCCCTGGTTAGATGTTACAGGCTGGAATTATCTTGATTTTTTTTATCCCTTTGGGGCTGCTGCCTCCCCAGTTGATGGATAAACACTTTTCCTTGGTCATTGGGCATTGAGGGTGGGAGGAAGAATCCTGCCAGGCTTTAAGGATTCTGTTACTCTAGCCCAATGTTTCTCAACCTTGGCCACTTTAAGATGGGTGGACTTCAACTCCCAGAATTCCCCAGCCAGCATGGCTGGCTGGGGAATTCTGGGACTTGTAGTCCACCCATCTTAAAGTGGCCAAGGTTGAGAAACACTGCTGTAGCCTACCTCAGTGAAGTTGAGTTCCAGTATTTATGGTGAAGTTTGTTTCCTGACTTGGCTCCTGACATAATCTGACAAAAGCATTGCACCATTGTGCAGCAAATCCCCACCCCTTTCATACATGTGTTGTGACATCACACGTACCTCCCAAAGGTCCAGAACCTGCACGTGATGCTCCCTTCGTCATTCTGATTAAAGTAGCCGGAACTGTGGACACCCACATTCTTGCTTTTTACCTTTCAGGTGCTGGGAGAATTTGAAGAAGTAGCAATGGGTTTTTCAAGAGAAGATGATGCCAGCGAAAAGCAGCCTGGCCGGGAAATCAAGCAGGAGCAGGCCAGCTGGTTGGGTAAGGGTGCTTCTCTGTGTATACAGTGGTACCTCGGGTTACGAACTTAATCCGTTCCGTGACTCTGGGCGTATCCCGAGTTGGTCGCAACCCGAGGCAATTTCCACACCACAAGCCTCACCGAACGTCTCCTTGCTACCGTGACCTCGCCCACAGGAAGCCACAACCGCGTGGCATCAGGGAAAATGGCCGCGTATCCAGTTCGTAACCCGAGGTAAATTTTTCCTGCCGAAGCTGGTCATAACCCGAAATGTTCGTTAGTAGAGGCGCTTGTATCCTGAGGTACCACTGTAGTTGGTGGAATGATCTTATTTATTTATTGTACTAATTAGATTTGTTGTCCCATCTTTATTTTGTGCAACTCATCAAGAAATAATATCCCTTCTTCCTATTTTCCCCACACAACAACCCTGTGAGGTGGGTGGGGCTGAGAGAGAGGGACTGGCCCCAAATCACCCAGCTGGCTTTCCTCCCTAAAGATAGACTAGTATTCACGGTTTCCCCATTTCTAGTCCAGCACCTTAGCTATTTGTTGTGGGGAAAAGAAGAGTCAGGAGTATTGGGTAAGTTTGTCACCTTGAATTTGACAGACACACACACACACACACACACACACACACACATATATATATATTTATAAAAGGTGGCATAAAATAATAATCACTCAGTGAGGCATTACCTTGATGTGGTTGTGGGGCACGTGTGCTCCGAGGAGGATGATAGCTATGTCAGAGGTTCAGCCGTACTGGACAGCTCTCATCAGAGGAGCCACACGAACAGCGCCTCTCCCATAAATGTACGCTGCCCTTGCTGTAGGCTAGGGATCAGCAGTCTGTATCTCTTTAGATGTTTTTGGAATTCAGCTCACCGCTTATCCCCTTTGGCAGTGCTGGTTGAGGCACTCCGGGATTGTAGTTCAGTAATATGTAGAGGGTCATCAATTCCCTGTGGGAATTGCCATGGATTTTGGGGTGATCCATCAGGGATCACAGCAGAATCTTGCTGTCTGTAAGAATCTGTTCCCAGACTGATAAGGATTCAAAACATCAGCTTTAACGTTCCCTGTTATTAGTGAAGAGACTCAGCTCCTTGAAAGCGCAGGAAAGCTATTAGAAGGAAAATCAGAAAATCTTCACTATGTAGGTATTAATGGGAAATACTTGCTGTAATTCTTGGTGTAGTATTTCAGGTGCTGGCCTAGAAAGCAGGAGATGGGGAGTTCTAGGCCTGCCTTAGGCATGAAAGCCAGTTGGTGATTGGGCCGGTCCCTCTCTCTTACCCCATCCCACTTCACAGGGTTGTTGTTGTGGAGAAAATAGGAGGTGGGAATTTTAGGTATGTTTGCCAACTTGAGTTGACCAAATTTAAAAAAGGCAGGATAAAAATATAATGGCAACAACAACAACAATAAATCTTTCCAAACTAAGACTTTGTGAGATTCCTGTTTGGAAAAAGTCACTTCCAGTTTTATGCAATGGGCAGTGTAATTCTTGTAAATTTCCTGAAGAGAAGTCTACTTCCAGTAGAATTTCAGATATGAGGGCTGAATTCATACATCACACAAAGCTGGTTTTTTTCAAAATTGTGGATTATTGTTCAAGGAAAGAAATGCAACCAGGCAAAGTAATCATTGCTTGTCAGGCTACTTCCTGATTTGTTTTCTCTCATTTTTTTATTCTTACCTTGCCTTTTGAGGCGGGGCATGGCTGAAAAACAAATCAGGAGTAAGCCAGGAAGCCATAAACAAACCATGTGTCCTACTCCCCCATCAAGCAAAGCCTCAGTTGTAAACAGGAAGGCAACAGCTTTCAAATTAAGGTTTGGTGCCCTGAAACAAATTGTGGTTAATTATCTTAAACTGACTGTAGTCACACATCAGAATGGTAAAAATAAATGAAAAAATTGTATCTTAGCACAAAATACGAATTTGAGTTGTTTGAACCATTGTCCTTTTATTATTTCTGGCTTTTCTAATGTTCTCTTTTAATCTTGACAGATAAGTGGGAGAGCGAGGATGAAGAGGCAGTGTTTGAAGTGTTATTGGAAAGAGCTGAAACTCAAGTCTTGGAAGAAAACTTTGGAGAACAAGATGCACCAAGGTGGGAACAGAGATTCCCAACAGACAAGAGAAGAAATAACGCCATTCTTGGTGAGACTGGGGTCTCTCGTGAACTTGCATTTGAGGAAAAAGCACAGACAGGAAAGAGAAGACACGTGTGCACTATTTGTGGGAAAGGCTTTACTCAAAAATCAAACCTCAACAGGCATCAAAGAACCCATGTGGGAGGAAAGACATTTCAGTGCTTTAAATGCGGGAAAAGCTTTAAGTGGGAAACAAGTTTTATTCGACACCAGCGATTCCACACTGGCGAGAAGCCTTATCCATGCATTGACTGTGGGAAATGCTTTAGTCGGAGCGCAAATCTCATCATTCATCAGAGGATTCATACTGGAGAGAAACCCCACCAATGCACAGACTGTGGGCAGAGTTTTAGCCAGATTTCCAATCTGGTTCGACATCACAGAGTCCACACAGGGGAGAAGCCTTATAAATGCCTGGAATGTGAGAAGAGCTTCACTCAGAAATCCAACCTTATCAAGCATCAAAGTGTCCATTTGGGAGACAAGCCGCCTCGACGCTCAGCTAATGGAAAAAGACTTAGTCAGAGGTCAAATCATAATAGATTTGACAGGGATTCCCTTGGAGAAAACCCCTGTAAATGCTTCAAGTGTGGGAAAATCTTTTCCCGGAGAGGCAACCTCCTTAGGCATCAGAGCATCCACACAAAAGATAAACCACACAAATGTCTCGAGTGTGGGAAACGGTTTAACCAGAGGACCAATCTGAATGCTCACCAAAGGATCCATACTGGAGAGAAACCTTACAGGTGTCCAGATTGTGGGAAAAGCTTCAGATGGAGGGCGCACCTGATTATACACAAGAGGTTGCACACTGGCGAGAAGCCACACAAATGTGCCGAGTGTGGACAGAGCTTCAGCCAGAGGTCCAATCTGGTGAGACATCTCAGAATCCACACGGGAGAAAAGCCATATAAATGCTCAGAGTGTGAGAAGTGCTTTGGTCAGAAATCCAACCTTATCAAGCATCAAAAGATTCACACAGATAATGCACTCCATCAGCTGATCGGTAGTGTCAGACAGGGCCGAATTCCAACAGGAGAGGATTCCTATAAATGTTTCAGGTGTGGGAAAATATTCACCCGCAGGGGGAACCTTCTGAGACACCAGAGCATCCACACCCGAGAGAAACCTCACAAATGCTCCGACTGTGGGAAAAGATTCAATCAGAGAGCAAACCTTATCAGCCATCAGAGAATTCACACCGGAGAAAAACCTTTCACGTGTCTTGACTGTGGGAAGAGTTTTCGCCAGAGCCCGCACCTTATTAAACATCAGAAATTACATGCAGAAGAAAAAGCTTCATTTCGAAGCCCAGATTATGGGGCTGGCATCAGCCACGAGTCAGGCCATAGGATACACGAGAGAATCTGCCTGAGAGGAAATCCGTATCAATGCATGAAGTGCGGCAAAATGTTTAACTGGCAGTCTAACTTCATCCGGCATCAGAAAATCCATGCAGGTGAAGAACCTCATCAGTGCTTGGATTGCGGAAAGACATTCAACCGGAGGAAAAACTTCGTGGCTCATCAGAGAATCCACACAAAAGAGAAACCTTATAAATGCACCGAGTGTGGCCAAACCTTCACGTGGGAAGCGCACCTTGTTATCCATCAAAGAATCCACACGGGAGAAAAACCTCATATGTGTGCCGAGTGTGGGCAGAGTTTCAGCCAGAGATCCAATCTCATAAGGCATCAGAGGATCCACACAGGGGAGAAACCCTACACTTGCTCAGAGTGTGGTCAGAGTTTTACCCAAAGGACACACCTTGTGGTGCACCAGAGAACCCACACAGGGGAGAAGCCCCATAAGTGCGTGGAGTGTGGGCAAGGCTTCAGCCAAAGGGCACATCTGATTGTTCATCAGAGAATCCACACGGGAGAGAAGCCGCATCGATGCACAGACTGTGGCCAAGGCTTCTGCCAAAGATCCAATCTTATCAGACATCAGAGGTCCCATGCCTGTGAGAAACAAAATTAGAAACGCCGCTGGAGGGTCGTGCTGAGTCTCGGTCATCCAGGCCTAGGTGGTGGGGAGAACTGGTAATGTTCAGCTGGTAAGGAAGTCTTGGGGACAGGCCTTCCTCTTTATGAAAAAATCCGCACAGGACAGGGCCTGAACTATAAAATATACAGACTCTGTGAAACAGTTTGAGGACACTGATCATATTAAACAGGGACCCCAACCTTCTATGGCTCGTGGACACATTGTTATTGTAAGAAAACATTACGAGTGCTCTTGCAACATGGCTACTGGTGTCTTGACCTTTTACAGCAACGTTTCTCAAACTTGGCAACTTTAAGACGCGTGGACTTCAAATCCCAGAATTCCCCCGCCCCCCCAAGCCGCCGGGGGAGTTCGGGGGGTGGAGTCCGCCCCAATACAACATTCCCA